GAAAGGCAGGCTTCCAAGCCGCAGACACACTGGGAAGCGTCCTCTTTGATTAGACGGTACCTCTCAGGTGGCCGGGCCGGGCTTCCGTTTCAAAGGCAAAAACCACGTTTTTTTGGCAGCCGCGCGCAACTTAGTGAATCCAACAAGCAGTTCGGTTTGCAACAGTTTGCTTCCATTTCGATGTCACTTTGAGTTCTGTTCTTGTTGGCAGTGTCTGTTGAAATCAGTTCCAGTTCATGTTTTGGTTTTTAGTTCACTCTGGAAGGAAGTGGGGTGCGTGATTTGGCGAAACTCCATGTGCAAGCTTATGAGACAGGAGTCTTGGTCGTTTTGCATGAAGAATGGGCAATTCGGAAGCATGAGTACGTACGCAGTGACGCAGTGAGTTCGAGTCCACTTTGGCAATGTACACAACTGAATTGATGGAAAGCCGTGACAACATGACACTTGTCATGTTCAGTTCGACTTGTTCCTGTGAAGAGCATTGTGGAGCCATTCTTGTTCACAGTGCGCGTCAACAGCACCGCTTTCAAAGTAATGCAAAGGCAGCAGTCCGCTTGACGATGTCCCATGCACTATTTAACCAAAAGCCAGAAACCAACAGGATTGTTAGTTTTGACCCAACATGCATAATAAGTTGGACCGTGATAATATCGTGGCTTGATTTGCTTTTCAAAAGGTTTTGCATCACCAGTGTTGTGCACTGACCAATGCTGCTGGAACCGTCCAGATGGAGGACAAACAGTATGCGAGACATCGTGGAACTGTTGGTGTGGGGAGTTGATCGCTCAAAGGACTTGGCGAGTGAATTCCAAGCTGACTTCCTCGATGCGGTCAAGGCTTCATCTTTCGACTGTTGCACGACATCGAACCCAATGAGTGCATGCACAATGTGATAGTTTGCATTCCCTCCTTGCATGACGATGGTCCTCTGGTTAATCGTTTGAGCTCGAAGGTTTTGGAAGACTTCTCATCTTCAGCCTGATGCTCACGTCAAATTGTTGTCAGACTTGTCCACACTTGTGGCAAGAACTTGTGCGATTCCTGTATTGCATTTGGTCTTTCTGTCGTATCAGATCTGTTCGGTTGGATTGTGCTGAGGACAATGTTCTCAAGGATGCAATGGCCAACATTCGGCAGCGGATCACTGCAAAGACGTGCGCTGTGCATCTAGGTAGGTAGTGCTTCTGCGGCTTTGAGCTTTTGGAGCCGTGCTTAGACACGGAGTGCTCTTACTGTTGCGCTGAAGTTCCATGGATGGGGTCGAGGCCTGTTGCTTCATTTGATCACAGTTGGCTTACTCACAGTTGTCTTTTCGGCAGCGAGACTCTGGCTGCAAGGCTCGAGCTTCGAAGCCAAGGGACAGGAACAAGACACGCAAGAACTAATCAGAACCGAAGTTCCAGCTTGAAAGCCATGGAGATTTTATTTTCCGGCCTGACGGTGTAACATGCCAGATGCGTGGCAACCTGCATCCTGAAGATGCAGCGGTTTGTCGCATTTGCTTTGATGGAAGCGGGCTGATTACCGGGCAAGTCTGTGCTTGTCGAGGATCTGCTGGGTTGGCGCATGCTCGGTGCTTGGTTCACTGGGCAGCCAGCCGATGGCCAAATTTGACATTCTGGAGAACTTGTTCGATTTGCGGTCAGGACTATGTTGGAGCAGCCCGCCTTTCCTTGGCTCAGGCTTTACATTCTAAAGTTCGGTGGAGGCCACTGCAAAGGCACAGCTACTTGTGGGTGCGGGATTGGGCCGTTGAAAACCTCATATGCACGCTACATGAAGTTGGGAAGCATGAGCAGGTTGCCCAACGGGCTGAACAATCCACGGCTAGCTTCAGAAAACGGGGCAAGCTTCATCACCCTCGGGCTCTGCGAATTGCCACTGTTCTTGCCAGCTCATTGCGAGAGATGGGCCGATATCAAGATGCTGTGGAGTTGCAGCGGCAGGCTCTTTCAGTACAGCGTCGAGTGCTGGGGAGCAGTCATCCTGATGCGATAAATTCATCCAACAACCTCGCATGCTCGCTCAGTATGATGGGTGACCAAGCTTGAAAAAGGTCACAGCTTTTTCATTTATTAAGTTTCGAGTGAACGAGTCTGGCATTGTACGTACTCGCAGTCTCCTGAGTGCAGCGTGTTGCAAGGCAAGCGTGAAGAAGCCGCTTCGCTTTCTCGAACATCACTCAGACTGATGAGGAAACTTGCTGGCGAGGCTGTTTGTGCCGGCGGCACCGTCTTCTAGAGACAGAGACACATGTCTTTTTTCCAATATTGTAGTTGCCCTGCGAGAAGCATCCCGACACCCTGGTTGCCGCCAGCAACCTGGCCGTTCTGCTCCAAGAGGACGGCAGGTATGAAGAGTCCGCACAGGCGGGAAGATTGATGGGCCTTTCATCTGCTGACATGCTCTTGTGGCGAGGTTGCCAAGCAGACTCTGGATGTGCAGCGGCGGTTGCTGGGGCCAGAGCATCCTGATGTGCTTTGCACTGTCAACAGCTTGGCAGCGGCTCTTCACTTGCAGGCTGAGTCAGAATGTGAGACCAGTCAGCCCGATGCGGGTTGACTCATGATCATACTAAATGGAACAAGTGCATATTTTCAGGGCAAGCACGCGGCGGCCATCGAATACCAGAAGGAGACGAATGACGTCATGCTTTGGTCGGCATCGGGAAGTAGTGACATACTTACTTGCTGCAGGATTGCTCGCTCGCCTGACTTTGTGTGATCTAGAATCCTCAAACTGCTGCCGGCCATCTGTAGTGTTAATATAAGACATATAAGATAGTACAATCATGTAAAATGATAACCAACAGCTATGTAGAAAAATAATGTAATGAAAGGTGAGAACAACTACAATTGAAGCTGCTTTAATCTCTGTGTGTGTATATATATATGTACATAAGTTATCAGTTTTGAGCGTCCAGGGCCTCGTTGACACGTAGCAACCTTGCATTGCTCGATCGGTTCAGTGGATTTGTGATTCCGGTTCCCTGGGACTTGATTTTTCATCATGCGTCCATGTCCCTTCGCAGGAGATGCTGGAGATTCGACGAAGAACAGTTGGCATGGAGAACCTGGAGACGTTGGTCGCAGCTCACAATCTGGTGCCTTGCTGCGGAGAGTAAATGCAAGACTGGTGCTACTTTTGCCAAGTTACAAGGAGACCGCTCGTGTACAACGTGTGTTCATGCCAAGGCCGGAATGCTCCAGCAGAGAGGATGTTACGAAGAGGCACCGATTGAAGCTTTCTTTGCCTTGGTTGCACAGGGGCCATTAGCTGGTGGGGTCCGTTGTGCGACAGTTGCTTCGGGGATCGGACCTCGCGAATCCAGCTTGAAGACGTCCCAAAAGAAACCCTTGAGACGCTGCCGATTGCAGGCGCAATCGTTCTTCACAGCACACCCGAACTCTGTCCGATCTCCACGCTAAGTCCCGCAGCGAGATCAGACAGTCCCAGACTGCTACACAGGCTGGCGAACTGCAGCGTGAAACCCTTGAGGACGCGGGCGAGAGAGGGGAGAAGCACACCGCAACATGTGGTGTGATGCCGGCATGAATCGGAGGTCTTGACCAGACGGATGGGCCCACGACATCCCGACACGATGACCGTAAAGAGTGCTTTGGCATCGACCCTGGAGCAGCACCGTGGCTGCAGAAGATGGCCCTTCACCGCAATGCGCTGATAGCCTGTCCTATAAAAGTGTAGGTGCTGGGCTGGCGGATCAAACTCTGCGTTCTGTGATGCCATCTGGCTCAAGCTACATCCGTCGGCTGCTAGAATCCTTGACTTCCCGCCGGTCTCCCGCATGTTGTGTGGCAGCATTTAAAAGCAAGCGAGCTCAAGTCTGAATCGGAATCGGATTTGGGGAACACGGGAGCACGATTGTGTCCCAGGCGCGCTGATGAGGCTTTGAAGTTCTTTGCTGTGCTGGCAAAGGCTGGGATTGCATTAGTAGGATCTTGCCATTCGATGCAGAAAACACGGCCCTGCCAGATCGCATGTGGCCATGTGGATCTGCAACTTAGTGATCAATTCTGAAATTCGGTGATTCGCTTCATGATCCACCAGATCGAGGGGGAGTGGAGCTCTCACCTCTTCTGAGGAGCGGCGCTGGGATGGATCATGACCGGGGATCCATGTCGATCGCAACCAACCAAGACATTTCGCAGGTGCACCTGCAGCAATCAGTTCCACTGATGGGATGAACTTCCCCAGCTGTTTGCCTTCCCCAGCTGTCTGCCATTCAAACGATCGCAGCAGGTAGTTCCCTGTCACAGGCTTTGTCTCTTCTCCGTGACCAACTGGCAGATGCCCGCGAGTCGGTGCTGAAACATCTGAGTCCTTCGGCTTGATTTTGCATGCACATGTGTGCCGTAGTATGTAGCTGTCTCGAATGCACCTTAGTGGAAGCAGCGGTCGCTCTCACTCTGTCATGTGTCGGCAGAAGTGTCAGTAATGTTGGATATCTGACAGGAACATCCAGCTTTAACTGTGCAAGCCTTCGGCTGAGAATGTTAACGAGGTGGATTCCGTAAAGTTTCACGATGGTTCGGCTCAGATACACATACATGCAGTGTCCGTTCGATGCACAATGAGGTTGCCAGGGTTTCAGTCGGACCTCATCGTCTAGAAAAGGCACATTGTTCGTTCATGTCTCCAGAAAACGTTGCATTAGATGATCTCTCAACGGTCTTATCAAGACGTGCAGCAAAGGCCAATGCGAGCAGTGTGCATGCAGGAACGATTTCCTACACAGTGATATCGCGTCACACTACAGTTGCTTGCTCGTTGTCGCGTTCGTAGGAGTGAGAATGTCCAGAGAGGAGATCGCGGCCCGTAGATCAATCGTGATCAAATTCTCTAGGTGACAGGCCATAACACTCTGGTGCATTTAAAAAGGTTCACCAAGCGAGAAGGCACTTCTCAGTCTCTCACTGCTGAGCTGTCGCCCTGCTGCTCGCAGTTGGTCCGTTTTCTGGCCCATGCAACCGGACCGTGTTGAACGAAGGGAGTCTCGATGTCGCTCACTTGCTTTGTTGTCGGATGGGGCAACAGCTAGCGAGCAAGCCTGGCAAGGTGCAATTGCTGACGAGGAGCAGGCAGTTGATGAATCGGTACGTGGTTTTATAGTTTTGATGGTGTGCTTTGCTTGTGAGTCCCGAGATCAACTTGGCTTCGGCAAGCAATGCCATGCAATCGGACCTTGCCGCGCTTCGCACAGACTTTGCGAAACACGTGAAGGACCCCTCCCATTTGCAGCTTTCAAGATTGCACTCGTGGTCAGCGCTAGTTACCAGGATTTAGTGGCGGGAGAACTTCAGCAGGAGGCGGCGGAACACGACTAACCAACATGACTGCAATCAGTGAAGTGTGCACCCGTGTTCAGCTTTTTCGGTTTCAGGTGTCCATAAGACACGGCAACCTTGGGCGGTGCTGTTGCAAACTGGGCTCCGACCAGGCAGAGTCAGCTTCCATCGTGTCCCATGAAGGCGCATCCTGAGAGTGCCGAGTTCGAGTTGCGACTCAGGCAGGCCCAGGTAGATTCGACATCGACGGTGACGGCGAGGTGGACGAAGACGAGTTGCGGCTACTCGGCAACAGTGTGAGCTGGCTGCTCGGGTTAGATGTTGGGCAAACCCACATATATCGACCGAATTCATGACACAGGTCTTTTCAGGTACAGGAGGCCACCACATAGTAATTCCGGAAACGGGCCCTCTCTGGCATTTCCCAGTTCCAGTTTTCGAACCTAATCTTCACAAATGCTTTCTGGCGTTACTGATAGATGTGGCACATGTGCGTATCCAGTGTGGTTGCAGCAGAATGTAGCACCCTTGGAGTGTCTAGCCAGTTTGACATCATTCCATGATGGTCGTACTGAGGCAGGGGTTGACTAACATCGGGTCCAATGCGACTGCCAGCAGTATTCACCATGCACATGCAAGTGCCGACGCGTCCTGGCCGCAAGCAGCACAGGTCGAGGCAGCGCACAGCACAGAGGGTGCAGGATCATCACGGAAAGACACGCATACGGAAGCGTGTGGTGAGAGCTCAAGTGAGGTAGACGGAGATTCGAAGCTTAGCAAGAAGGATGCCCAGCTTTGCAAATAATGTGTGACAGCAGCCGTTTGTTTTGTGAGCGTGCCCTCTGTTTGCATGCTGCTGCAATCAGCATACGTTGCTGCTGGTGTGTCGCCAGCCACCCACACAACGCTGAGCTCGAGGTACGGTATCGAGCAGTGCAAAGCGCCCTTGCTTCTCCAACGTGACATGTCTGAGGAATTTTCTATGTTGATGACGCGATTTGACTCGTGGTTCCACACTTTGCAGGCCCGGAGGTGTGGAAGTGCAGTACACCTTGTGAAGCACACGTAGCACCGGACCCGTGCATGCCTTCACTCTTGACCGGCGCAGGGCCCTGATTCCTGCTTGTTGTGGGTATGGGTCGCGTGATGGGGCCTGTGGCGATAGTTTCTTGTGTAGCCGGTGCACGGGATCTCCGCTCCTCGCGAGCTTTACCTTTTACATGTCGAGCGTTTGTATTGCAAGGCCCACGCTTCTGAACTGGCCTCTTTGCAAACCCTCCCTTGCCAAGAGCCTGCATTGCTCGTTTGCAATCTTTTGTCCTCTGAGAGAATCTGCTACGTGTGCACGACACTTGGCTTCGGTGCGAGTGCAATCTTGGTTGCCCCGTCCAGCCCTGGGATGGCCACCTGGATCAGGATGGGAACATTGCCGAGTGCACCTGGAAGGCTTGCAAGCATGAAATGCATTTTGTGTAGGTCAGATAAAGTGCTTAAAAGTCACTACGACAGTGCCTGATGTGAGGACCTCAATGGCACTGAGCCCGCAACACATCACTGCCCAGTGGATCTGGTCGACTATTTGCAGCTTCCCAGCCTGGGAAAGGAGTGCTGCATTTCAGAGCTCTCGTGCTAATGTCTCAGCAACTAGTCTCATCAGGACTTGCTACTGCTGTCGTCAAGCTGCTGGACGAACTAGTGCAAGCATGCAATGTTGGAGCAGCTTCTACAGCGAGTCTTGCAATGCGTTTCGTGCTGCAACCAAGGTTCCTATTCTTGTGCCGCAGCAGCGGGTCTCACAGGTCAGCTGTCTGACAAGATTGACCTAATGGAGAGTGCAGAATAGAGCAGAATAGACTCCCTCGCAAGCGAAGCTGAGTGCTGAAAGACGCTCGGAGCAGAGACAGAGGCGTTCAGGCGCCGAGTTGAAAAGGCGCTTTGCTGCTCAGACTTGATCTTTTTTGACTCGCCGGGAAGTGCAACCCATCCGAGGCAGGGCATTCTTGACGAGGCGAGGCCGAGTTGGAGTCAGCCTCGGTGCCGTCGCTTCTGATTCTGAGCCAGGCTGAGCGAATGGCCCGTGAGGCGCATTCAGAGGAGGAGGAGGTCGACCCCCAGGGTTGCCTCAACCCAGCCTACATGACAGCGAGATGGGTCTTTGCTGGATTTCGTCTTGATTTCCTTGCCCTGCAGGTGCTTGGTCCGCATCATCCTAGAACTCTCTGTACGGCTCACAACCTTTGCAGCATCCTTCGTGAGAAGGCCGCGATAGCAGCTTAAAAGCATCTGCAGATGCTTTTCGCTAGCGTCCCACCGTCCAAGCTCCAAGCTAGGGCCATGTACTGCAAGATCAAAAGCACGTGGCCTGCTGCGGACGCGTTTTTACCACCCACAGTGGCAGAGAGCAGAGAGCAGCTTTGCAGGGATCTTATCGACAAGCATCGGTCCTCCTCTCAAAAACCGTGGAGTCCTTGAGGAAGGCTGGATCTAAGCATATCTGAGCATTGCAACCGATCTGAGAACACTTAATGTGGCTGTTCTCCTGAAGCTGTGGTTCGAATTCTTGCGAAGGCCTATGGCAGCCAGCATCCGCGAACCCTCGTCTCCGCAGCGTGGTCCGATTCAGCCTTGGAGGGAAAATCACTCTGCGTCTCCCACAACTCCCAAGGCTTGCACGCTCGCGAACCTCTATTTGAAGCTTGGCAGGTGGGAGGTTTGCTGCCGAAGTCATCCTACCGCCAGCCGCCACTATCCGCCACTAGCCTGTCTGGTGGCAGTCCTTGACCCGGAGGTTCCAGGACAGCCTGGAGCTGGTAGCACCAGCACTGAGAGCCCAGGCCTTGGCTTTCCTGTGTTGCAGTCTTCGCGGTTTCATTGTCTTTTTGGGCAAGCTTTGCCTGCAATAGATTTCATGGCTGCACATTGTCGTGCTTTTCACGCAGCCTTAATATGGCATCAATCCTTTCCCTCTCATCATGTTGAAACAGTGGGTGCAATCTGTAGTCCTCGTCCGCGATACTCTGCACAGTCCTGCAAGGGCCTTCAGGGGATCGAGTTTGGTGTCGGCCTCCTGCCGCTGTCCAAGGTGTGCAAGAGCAAACGATTTGTGTTAGCCTTTGCCCTGGTACATGACTATGGCACTGTATATGAAGACCTCGGATTGCGTACCTGCAACATAACTGTGCATGACGCAGACCCCTTGATGCGCTGATTGTTGTGTCCAACTGAAGTACGAACTTGCTATTGCTATTCGTTTCCATTAGCAGGGTACTCCTCGTGAATGAAACTCGCAACAGCTGTCAGTTTCGTTTGTGTATCCTCAGGAGCCTAATGAGCTCTGCTATTCCGCCTGCCAGGAGAAGACTCTGGGCGCAAGGCACCCACAAGTTTCAGCAAGCACCAGCATTTTGGCTGCCGGCCTGCGTCGCTCGGCGTACCGAAACAGAATCACATGTCGCTGCACTCTAGACAGCAATGCTAAGGCGACCTGGGACGGGCGAACCACTTGGCGAAAATTCCTGCGACAGTCTTGGAGGCAGTTTCTTCAAGCTCCGGGGTGCCTCAGCTGATCCCGTCAATCGCAGCTGTATGTTTCTCATGGCCACCAACTGCAGACGAGGGGCCAACAGACATTGCCTTGATCTTGTCTCGGCGTGCTGTGAACATGCAGCGTGAGGCCATCCTCTGGGTTTCTTCCGCTTTGTCTTTCATTTTGCAAAGGGAGTTTCTTGCCTTTTCTTGCAGGTTCTCGGTCCGGATCTCGACAGGGCAGTCATTCGTTGTGGGCGTAAATCAAGCAGTCGCCGCCACTCAGGTCGCGAGCACCCCGCAACTCTGGATTCTATGCTTCTGGTTGCAGAGTGTTTGATGGATCTGAACCGTTGCAAGGACTGACGGTGAGGTAGCCTAAGGTGCGGACTGTATCTCGTTCATCGCACATGGTGCTACTTCCAGGAAGCAGCCGTTGTTGCTCGTCGTGCTCTGCGGCTGCGGCTAAAAGTGTCTGGTCAGCGGCATCCGAGAACGCCGCCTTGACTAACGAATAGTTGAGTGTTCCTGAACCCAGAGGTACTGTGCATGGAGGAAATCTTGCACGGCTTTTGAGATATGTTATGTAGCTTCACCCCGCACCCCCTTCTTAACATTGCCATGATCACGGGGTTTTACAAAATCGTTCCAATGACATAAATCTTGCACCGCCCCAAGAGATCTGTCGTCAATGTTAAAAAGGGGGTGCGGGGTTGTTGCTTGGATGTGTACCCGAAACAGTGTCTGTAGGTGGTGCAAGATTTCCTCCGTCCAACGTAGCATCTACTTTGCAAGGGAAGCGTCAGCGCATTTGTCCTGAGCACTGGCCTGAAACTGTTGTCGACAAGGCTGTCAGCGGCAGTGATTCGTGCAGCAACCTTGCACAAGCAATGCCGGACCGGTCAGGCGCGTGACATGCATCTGAGCGGCCTAGCGCTCGCAGACCTGCTTGGCATGCAAGTCTCTTTGAACCTCAGAAGCAGAGAGGCTCGAGGCCTCCTGAGTCGCACGCTGCGGATTCAGAACAAGGTGAGACAGCAGATTATTTTGAGATTTCACATGGGGAGGTCCTTCCTTCGCCCATTGAGCCTGTGAGGTGTTCCAGGGTTTTCCTCACCCCCAGCTGCTGTCCACGGCCAGCGACTACCTCGAGCTGCGGTGCCGCGGTTCTTGGGCGGCGCAGGTGCGCTGCCTGTGGCACCTGTGGCAGGCACCCATGGGGAAGGAGAGGGACAAGGAAAGAGACAGAGGAAGGATACAAGATCCAGAAGAATGGAAGCCTTGCCTGCGACTGTTCAGGTCCAGCGCCAGACCCTGGGACGTCGGCACCCAGATGTCCGCTGCACAGCGCAGCGCCTGGCATGTCAAAGAGCGAAGGCGGGCCCGCCGTTGACCTGACAACGTTGTCTGCTTGTGGCTTCAGGCCGAGCTGTGCCGGGCTGCTTGCGATGCCGGCGATGGTCCAAAGCGGCGAAAAAGTTTTCCTGTTCTCCTGCATTGTGGATCGATGCACACGCAGTCTTCTCGGGAATCCAAATAAGGGGAATCATTCGGACAAAATCCCTCTGGTTTTGGTTCTTGGTGGTACACAGGCAGCATCTTTGGGTTTGTGTCCTTGCTCGAGCTGTGAGCATAGGCCTCATTGGCCTCAGCCAACCTGAATCTCCCACCCGAAGCGTTTCTGCGACTGGTGAGGTACGTTTGTGCTCCGAACTTTTGGGGGGACCTTCGTGGCACACTGAAGGCTTCGTGGACTTGATGCTGTTGCTGCCTACGGAGGCATGGGGGCATTCCCGTCTCGATGTCGAAATTCCTGACAGGCAATTGAAGAGCGACGGAATGAGCGGACATCGAAATCCAAAGCTCAGCAGGCCTTGCGCACCGGAAGGCTCAAGCACTGCCACCATTTTGCACATCCCCCCAAAAGGTGCTGAAGCAGGTCGCTCGACTGGAAGTGAAGTTCTGGGCCAAGGCCAGAGGGCAGGGCAGTGGCAGAGTGCGGGCAGAGGGCAGAAACCTGTAGGGGGCATGGGGGGGAAGGAAAGAGTCAGAGCGGGCGGGGTCACGGGGTAGTCGTTTTCTGATCGACTTCGGTTCTCGTCCTCGTCTCGAAGCCCGTGTTCGGGACAGAATCCACGACACAACAGCCGCTTGGGGCAGGGCCGCTCTGCTTTTGACACATTGCCTGCTGACCGAAGCAGGGCACTCCAAACAACATTGTCGGATTCCCTCGAAACTTTGGGGTCCTCCAGCGGCTGGAGATGATGCGAAGTCAAGTCCTGGTCCGTGAGTTGTGGTTCTCATCGGAATTATGCTTCTGCTTCATCGGAGCCTCGCGCAGGAATGCGGGAACAAAGCAAGGCAGGATTGGAGCACACGGGCCGTGGACGGTGATAAGATTGGCAAAGGATTCTCGACAGTATCGACCTTCACGGTATACTGGGCGTGCTCTGCCAGTTTGCGTCGCCTGTGTCAGGCAAGATGCCTATACTCCACTAATACCTGTAGCAAGTTTTGCGACCATGCCGACATCGTGTATTTGGATCACCATCCGGCTGGCATCGGCATAGGCTGAGTCGGCGCAAAGATAAACAGAGACGTCTTGTCCTTGAAACACTCTCACATCCTTGTAACCAGTTGCCCTCAATCTCCGCTTCCTTGAGTTATCGAATCCGCTTTGACGCCCATTGACATAGCCCTGTTTTGGCATGTGCCTTTCGGCCGAGGACTGCATCGTGTGCCTTCGTTTGAGAGTGCCCGCGGATGAAGTACATACATCCTCCGCTGCGATATCATGTTGTTTGCAGCGAAGTCGCCTCCCACTATTAGGTCGTTTTTGTTGTGAAAGTTTTGCAGAGCCCATCGACGACTCGATGCACCAAGCATCGCGCATCCCGTGAATCTAGTGCGGTCGCTATCACGAGCAGAGTTAAAAAGGTTTCTGCAAACCCACTATCTAGTAGACTGATGACGACTGACTCAGCGGTCGGCCTGGAGACGTAGGTGAGTTCGGTTCGTGGAACGCCTGTGGAGCTGGAGGGCTGCATACAAGAAAGCCTTCTGTTTTCCTGGCGAGCTGTTTTGTACATTCATTGGCTGAATATTTAAATTTCTTCCCTCACGAGTCTTGGCGCTGAAATCTTGCTACCTGCCACTTGTACATTCGAGCCTCACCTGTCTCTGATACAACTTTGATGCAGCTGGGGGACTGCCGCATGCAGCGTCATCTGGTTGTGCATTTTCCACCTTCGAAGGCAAGTGTTGCAATGCTCAAAGAACTTGACCCAGAGTCAAGGATAGAAAGGATAGCCGGGGGCCGAAAGACTGCTCTTGGCTATGTCCGGCTACAGGAGAGTAGACATTGATGTTGCATCGACCAAGGTTGACTGGCTGCAAACCTTCGGCGTAGAGGAGGACTCAGTCCGGTGGAGTATGGTGGAGTTGAGTCTCAGTGAATCAGAGTCAGGGAACGAGAAGATGTGCTGTCCGAGCTTTTAGCATCCTTGGCCTACCAGTTTCGTCTCGAGGAAGACAGCTCGTCAGGGCCTGCAGTTTTGTACCAGGCGGCGCATGCCCGGCTGAATGATGAAAGTTAGCCAGAGCCGAGCAGTAGGTGCTCAGCGACGTGACTCTTCAGAAGGCGGGGTTCCGATCAAGCGATTGTCTGTGTGCTTGACTCTTCCCGTAGCGGCTAGATGAAGAAGCTTACTGAAGCCTTGAGGATTTCGAGGTGCCTCAGCGAGAGGCACTGTCTGCTGCCGTGAGGGAGAACTTGCAGAAGTTCCCCGTGGAGATGCAGGTGCTGGGGTGAAGAGTATGAGAGTACATCAATAGAGGAGCTTCCAGCACATGGCTTTCAGCTGTGTAGACAGAGTGCAAGATCGATAGCTTGGCTTTGGCCGAGTTCTGAACCAACCTGTCATATGGCACTGATGCAGGCCGTGCTGGAACGTGTGGGCAGTGTGACTGGCGGACGCCCTGTCGTTGTGTCAGATTGGAGAAGAAGGCCATGCACAGATCGAGACGGCGCAGTTCAATCCAAGACATCTCGGTTGCAGGCACAACCAGCCCACGCAGCTGGAGTCTCCAACGCTTGGCCCCGGAGCAGCGCGACCTGCTTAGTCTGGTAGCAAGGCGAATAAAGACGAACAGAAAGTGTTGCTTTACATCCTAAGGCTGCTCTTTGGAGTGGGGCCCCTCCCCAAGATGTGAACACGGCACCGCAAGCACGCTGTGACTTTTTGTTGCTTTGCCATGGTGGAGTCTGGTAGGTCTGAGCTGGAAAGTGACCAAGCACCACATGCAAGGCTCAAACAAACATGCTCCTTGAGCTAGGGCCTGCCGATCTCTGACGTGAATGGCCTTTGTCCTGACAGTCTCTCACATGTGGCCGAATCCGCCGAGACGATCACTGAAGAAATCTACATTCAAGACGTAGAGGACCAGCTTCCAACCCGCCGCCGGTCGCATCGTGAGTGAACGAGCATCACGTGCGGGTATCGTGGAAAAACTGCTCTGTCCGTGCTGGGTGTGTCTCTTCCTGCATGCTTGTAAGCGACAAAGAAGGATGTCACCACAGCTGAGGAGGAGGCTGTTTCGGGTGTCATCGCTAGCCAATCTTGAGCTGAGCCGAGAAGAAGCTGCTGTCCAGGCTGCCAACTCTGCGATCGTCCAGTCGCTTCAGCGAGAAATGGCTGAGCAGGAGAGGAAAGCCAAGGCGCGAGTTGTTGCTTGAAAGCTGAATCTCTGTGCAACCTTTTCCTGAGTCCTTGGACTGTCTTTGATGCTTTCGGCCAGTCTTGAACCGATTCTTCGATGAATGCATATTCAAGTTGTGTTTCTGGGTTGAGCAGAGTATAGCCTTGCAGGGAGGCCGAGTCATAAGACCTCTCGCCGCCCACACGGCTGTGCATTCTGCTTGCAGTTGAACTTCTGGACAACGTCGCTTCATCTGCGCGACTGTATAATGTGGGAAAAGGCTGAACCAGCCTTCGCTGTGCAAGAGTCGAAGTACTTGCAGCAGTGGTTTGCGGAAAGATTCTGGGGGCTGCGCCCACCGGCGGTCAGCGTCGGCAATGGCCAGTACTAAGCTGAAGCAGGCACGCTCATTCTTGAGCGTTCTATTGCACGTCAAGCATAAAAGACTATACTTGGCAACCTGATTGGCTAAACTACACTTTAACTGATATATGGTGATGCTAGACTCACGTTCGTATGGCACCCCCCCCCCCGCTCCTCACCCCTCCTCGTCCTCCTCCCCAATGATGATGTGCGCCGCTGCGGCGATACCACCACCGGCTCCAAAATGCGCATGACATGGCCCACACCCTGCTCGCCCCGATGCCTGTGTTACCGCGGGAGAAAGCCGAGAAGCACGCACGTCCGGCACGGCCCAACACAAAACGAAGGTCCGATCATATTACCGTCCGCCCTATTGCTGAAGCAAGGCTTGAGGCACTGACGCAACAGCAACAGGGCGAAAGCCCGGAAAGGGCGCTGCCCACGGCCAGACCATAGGTGCCCCACTGTGGTTGAGGGTCCGGGGCTGGAGAGGCCTGCTTCAGGGCTTGTGGTCGACATGTTGCTACTGTACCTCGGCGCGAAGCAAATTCTGATTCTAACTCGGAAGACAATGCTTGTGAGGTTCGTGAGGTCATTTTTGCGTCGACTTAAAGAAATAGCAAAGCTGAATGGAAAGGTAAAAGGCAACAATAACGCGGCAAGGGAAGAGTCTCCTGCATCCTCCGAACCTTTATCTTCCCTTTGCTGATTTTTGCTGGAAGCCAGCCATGCAACCCAAATTCAGCTTTTCCCTTAGGAAAAGTTGAAAACGATGTAGAAATAGTAAAATTCAAGGTGAAGAAACCAAAGGTGACAACAAGGTGAGCAGAGACGTGGAACACATGTGTCATGTTCTGCATTGTTTTGTTCAACTTCTTTGCTGACTTTAACTTCTTCATCCGTTTGCCACAAAAGCCGCGGGTCAATGGTTCGCAGCGAGGAAAAACGGAATCTTCTTTTGCATGCTTGGAAGGGAAATCACTGGTGCGGACTTTGCAATTGCTCTTTAGTGGATCGCACTTTTTCGTATTGCCATGAAGTGTTTCGTTCTGTTCCCTGCCTTAGATGGCAATTCATAAATCACCCTATTGCTCAGCCCACCTCTCGCTGTGGTATTACAGACGGGGCGCAAGATATTATTCCGTGTGCTATGGAAGCAAAGCCCGCAACCTTTGTGAAAGCTGCCAGCGGCACCCTGGGGGGCCACGGCCATCCCAAACACTTACTGTGTAACTTTTTTGGACTGCGTAACGGCGCAGGCTGCCAACCCATCAATGTTTGCGCTCAGCGCGCGCTATGTTCTGTCGAGGATCTAGGTTTCAGGCAGAAAGATCGGTCTCTAGAAGCCAATACCGTAAGTGGTGTCGCAAAGCGCTAGAGGAATGGAAAATTTACCCTAGTCCACCCCGGCTCCCTCCGAAAAAGGTAACTAACGAACAGCCCTGCGCAAAGTCAGAGAGCCTCTGGCAAAACGCGAGCGCCAACAGTAGGATCGCACGCTCACTTTTCTAAACCATATGTCCAGACTCCCTCATTGGACCTACCGCCGCGTCTCTTGACATGGCGCCCAGAACGCAATCAACTTCACATCGTTTCGATTTCGTGGAGACCTTGATCGGCCACGGCAAACAGGAGGCACTGGCGTACTGTAAGCCAGGACAAAAGCCATTGACATTATGGCCTTCTGGCATTACAGGAGACCAAATCGACATCATCAGACGAAAGCAGGGTGCTGGGAGGCAAGCTCCTCCTATGCGGTACCCCGACGGAACACATGGCCGGGGTCGGCTTATATACCGGCCTGCAGACTCCCACTAGTAGCAGATTTTCTGCCACATTCGGGCCGCATGGCGGTCCTTACACTGCGCACGCAACCAAATCCCACCCGTCTCGTTTCGTTTTATGCCCCGAGTCATTTATCAGACCCTGCTGCAGATGAGGATCGCAACGATAAATATTGGGATGAATTCCAGAATTCTAGGACCTGCACGAGAGCCTGCCAAGACCCTCACTTATCATATATATATATATGGGTGGACTTAAATGCCCGAATCATTCCCACCGACCTTGAGGAATTCTCCACGCACAGTGGCAAAGCGGTGTTGGCTAACGGACTTGTCCGACCGAACATAACAATAACGCCTTGTTCTCCATCCCTACGATCCAGCAAATGTATAGAGCACACGGAACGATTTTTTTTAACATTCCTTTGTACCGCAAGGTTCAGCCTTTTTGGCAGAACACCGCGAGAGATGGAGATCTCTCATCCATAAGCCCCGTTCTACCAGGCATGCGTAATTATGATCCTTAGAGGTATAACTTTTGAAAGCAGTAGGTGCTGACGACAACTGTGCCCTGGGTGTTCGAAAAAATCGCTTTCTTTTGCGCAAAGAATCCAGCAATTTCATCAGCCGATATTTTCTTGCCGCAAGCCCCCTTGGTGGCTTGGTGGTTTCTCGAGAAGACTATTCTGGAACTTTGTTGGGGAGGTGCAGCCCCTGCTTCTCTGGAAAGTCAGCGGTGATGCATTAATTGTCCATGTTCCCGGGTCAGCAGGTTCCAGTTGTCTGCAAGACCAATTGCAAATTTACGAGCCCAGGAGTGTTGCACAACATGACATTGAAGAATATTTGCAAAAGGGACTGTACGTTTCTGAATCCCGACCATCCACACTGCAATCCTGGCGGCAAAATGTTGCCAAAAAGCCTGCTGCTGAGATTGGTGTAAACAGCATCCGAAAAACCTCATTTCCCAGACCAAACCATTGCACGTCGCCCAACTCTTCCTCCTCCGGTCTTGGCCACGGATCAAACATTTACTGGTGCATCCGTGCTCGAGCTTTGAAAGGATGACGCAAGACTGCAGTGTAATTCCTTCTGTTCCCAGGATTGCTGCATATTCTGCGAAACCGTATGTTCACACTATCTCTTCCAATCATAAGCAGCAGTGTGATTCTCTAGGGCTGTGTAGGTGGCTTGCGAGGAAGATGTTCGTTGGCCGCCTGTTCATCGGGAGTAGGTGCCGGTGAATGGACGCACGGATATGCACGGATGGACGGACAAAGGAATGAATCAATAAACAGGATGAATTGAATAAAGGAATGGAGGGAGAGCAAATGAACACTGACTGAGGAATGATTGCACGAATCAACAGATTGAGATCTTACTACGAGATGAGAAGCGACATGAGCTGAAACGCTGAATGAACATATTGTTCAATGCTCCTGGATTGTTCAATGCTCCTGGCTTTTCGTCAATGTTTGCGGGTTCTTCCTTCGTGTGTTTTTGTCTGATTTGGTGTTGGTATTAGCAATTGTTTCGTTTGTTACACCTGAAAATTAGATAAATTAGTGTTTAGCAGCGCCTCTTTTGGTTGGTTCAATCGCTCTGTTGTCCCGTCTCAAACACGTGGGCCAAGTTTTGGTTTCATGAATTTGAGATTAGACTATCGTCACATTTCGCCACAAGTGAACGGTGAATTGCCAAAGCCCGGTGAGACATGCATGCTTTGCTTTCTACTGTGTATCTACGGGCACAAGGCTTCTGCAGAAAGCCTTCCAGCAGCTTGTCCGCATTGCCATGATTGGAAGCCACGCAGCTTGTGTCACAGCTTCATACCGAGTTGGTTCATGTGCTGGCAGCTGACTTAGTGTGGGTAGTGCAGCAAGGTGGATGAGACCGCTGCCATGCCGTTCGTGACCTTGGCATGGCCTTCGAGCATCCATGATTCTGCTGCCTCAAAGCGAAGCCGGCAGTGCTGCTTTGCCAGTCTGCCGATCCTTTCGCCGACCTCCTTGCTACCATCATGCTGTGGCTCCAGCAGGCCAGGCTCCAGGCAGTAGAATTAGCAGTGCTACTGGTAGTGTTGTCCGTGGCGCTCCCGTTCGAGGCTGGTGGCACCCTGGAGCGAGAGGCCGTCCTGCCTCTCATCAAGGCTGCATCAGCCGGCGCTGCTGGGATCAGAGAGATCTGCGATTCTGGAGTTTGAGGCGATGGGTTTCCGTGTCCGTGCGGTCATCAACGGCTTGTCGTGCCTTGCTTCCATGATATTCATGGGCTTGTAGGACTGCTAGGCCAGGCACATGTCCATATCCTTTCGATAGAGGGATGCGGGGGTTGTTGTTCCCCGATTTGGAAAACAACGGCCACCCCGCCTGTTGTTGTTTGCCCCCCTTATTCTTCGAACAACAACCCCCCCATTGTTGTTCCCCTCCTATAGTTCCTCCAGCAACAACCACCCCCCCTGTTGTTCCCAACCCCCGCTCCCCCGTTGCCCCCATTGTTGTTCCCCCCAAGTTCTTCGAACAACAATCCTTGTTGTTCCCAATCCCCCGTGCCCCCCCTGTTGTTGTTTTCACTATTGCTTTGTAGTAGTAGTAGTAGTAGTAGTAGTAGGAGGAGGAGGAGGAGGAGGAGTAGTAGTAGTAGTAGTCGTCGTAGTAGTAGTAGCAGTGGTAATTCTTGTTCTGCCCCTCCCCCCCGTTGTTGTTCCTCCTCAGAACAACCCCCCCTGCTGTTGTTCCCCTCCCCCCCCATGGGGTGGGGGGGGTTGTTGGTCACCAAATCCACGAACAACAAACCCCGACCCCTCCCTATCGAAGGGGTCTCCACATGTCTGCACCGAGGCAGGATGTGTTCTGGCACGGGTCCTTGGCTACTGCATGTTGGACGTGAGTTGCTTGAACCGTGTGTGCAGGTCGCACCCTGAAGCCGAGTGCGAAATTCTGCTGCGCACTGCGGCCCTGCCCTGAACATTGAGGATGTCGCTTCAAGACAGAACTTAGTAGTTTCATGTCAATGTGCAGGATACAGGAGTGCAGTTCGCGTAATGAGGTTGCTTTACAACACCTGTTGTTGAGGCTGGTAGCAGCTTGCATCCAAAGCCGTTGCCTGCTAACTACCTGCACGAGGCAGCCCGTCTCTCAAAGGCTTCTGAGCATCGAGTTGTCGGGGCTTCCGAGCACCGTTTCCTCCGAGGTCAGGCGAAACTTGGTTTTACAAGCAGGGGCCTCGCAGATCTCATGTTGTTTTGGTCCGACTGCTCGCAATGAGGTGCGACAGATGGGATCGAAAGCCAAGTACGACAAGCTCGCTGGTCTTCTAGGCATCTGCTCTTTACGGCTCGCGTCTTCCACTTGGCTCTGCAGCAGCCTGCAGTCGTGTCCTGCAAAATGCGCAAGCGCCGTGACTATGTCAAACTGGTGTGGAGTCAGAATGGTGAGAATAGTGAGTCTGGATGTCTTCGAGCTGCGTTCCTTAGGTTCATGTTTTCTAGAATTCCGAAGCAAGTGCTTTCGGCACATCTCCGCCGAATTATAGGGGATCATTCTGAAAACAGACAGGGGGGCCTCATTGTGCAAAATCTTGCAATGATACCTTTCTTCTAGCACTTTGAGCCCAACCTGATTTAGTTGGTTCTTTGCACCAAGATGGCAGCAGACCAGATCTTGCGACTGCGCTTGTCTTCCCCCCATTATCCTCGGCATTGGCCCCGCAAGAACGAGACACTGAGGCTGCAAATCCTAAGCGAATAAAGGGCCGGTGGTGCGTTTTTCGAGCGGGCGGCTCGCGGCTCGATGGAGCCTACGGAGCCTTGATCTCCGCAAAGTCTCTCACGGAGGGCTTCGCCCGAAAAAGGGGGCTTTGGCTTCTCCATTGCTTGGGAGTTGCAGCAAGCACCTTGCAGGGTGGAACGCCAAATCTGAGCTCAGACGAACGTGCTTCGACTGCAAACGGGCCATTTTGAGTGCAAGAAATGAAGGCTTTGGGCCCGCAGGTATGGCGCCTTGAGAATAGTTTTGGCTGGCCTCCCGGAGGCGCCAGTGTACCGAGACGATGGTTCAAACATTTAGCACCAGAATGCGACAGATCTTCTACGACTCCCACAAGCTCTACCTGAAACAGGTGCTTGAGGGAGCTGCAGCCTCGAGTCTTCCGACCATGCTCACTGGGTCTTGGGCCATGCTAGTTCCGAGGTCGTGGACTGGCCAGTTAGCAAAGATGGTCGCATAGGACATCCGCTATGCTAAAGATCTCAGACCTCATGGTATGGAAAAGCGCCTTACTGGAAGAGGACCCAATGGTGGCAGGGAGACAGTGCAACATTGGACTCGTGCATGTGATGATTTGAAAGGCGCCCTTGGGATGGGAGACTCGGTTGGGGCACATGCTCCCGTGAAAGGTGCTGGGGACATTGACTGGTTCAATGCCAAACGACAGCTGCTGGGAGTTGCCCTTCCCCCGTGAACAAGATGCACAGGACTAGCACGGACTGATCAGATTCGGTGCATCTTTCGCAGGTCATGAATCAAGGGGGACACTGCGATGTGCAGGCAGGAGTTGTCGTGTGCCTGCCCGCCTACTGTAGACGGCTTGTCCAAGCGAGATACCTGTTCAAGTTGCGAGGTTGCACGATGGCTATTGCAGCCAGCTGGCGAGGAGTGCAGCTTCAGTCATGTTTTCGCAGGGTCTCGATGAAGCCGACGCTGCGCATTGTGCAAGCATCTGCGAGGCTACCCTGGAAAAGGTTTTCGAAGCTGGATCCAAGTACGATCTCACCAAGGTGCATGCTGTGTTATTTTGTATTCGGACACCATGGACGCTTCATGGACAGCTGGCACTTTCAGCAGACTTTCTCGCTCCTCCACCATCTGAGTTTTCCTGGGCTAGTAAGTCTCCTGTGACAAGCAATTGTCTCAAGCTGCTTTCTTGATCATCATTAGTGATTTTCCTTTAAACTGCAGCTCGTTCACACTGGTTGCCAGCACAGCTTTTGCGGCAGCTGCGAATTTTGATGGTGTGTAAGATGGCATATTCGAAGTCGTCCTCTTCGTCGCCAGAGGCAGAACCACAGAAAGTTCGAACGTGGAGACGATGTCTTGTTGATCACCATACATGCCAGGAAGAACGGCTGGCAAGAAGCGGACCACGAGTCAAATCCTCTAGTTTTTGGCACCAGCCCCTTTGTCGAAAGCCCGGAAGTCCGGCACGCGACCAGTGAACCCGCCTTGTTGCCAGATGTCTGCAGATGCCGACCGGCCCGAGGGCAACAGTTTTGTGCCCTCTGCAGAGGGGTTTGAACTCCTGCCGGCAGCGTCTCCCCCGAAGCAAACCAGCATGCCCGGTTTTCACGAATGTATGCGGATATGCGCGCATGACTATCAGACATGAGGCCTCACATGGCTGTCGCCGCTGAAGATCTTGCCCGAACCTTCCTTCAAAAACGGAACATCTCGCGCATGTATCTGGTCGGTTGCATGATCTGCTGGGCGGGCTTGCAAGCGCATGTCTACACCCTCGAGAGTATCGACAGCTTGCCTCTTGACCGCCGCCTTCATCAGGTGCTGTTCTGGGAGCCACGGCGCGTCTTTAAGCGACGGCAGCCGATTGCCGCACAAGACGAGACCAAGGAGCGTACTGTCCATGCTGTCCTAAAGCTTAACTCGTCCTGCCGATGAAAGGCTTCCCCCGAGATATGCCAAGCGGTTCGGAAGGCGGGTGTTTCGTCTACCGCGGCATGATCAAGCCCGCCCTTCAACCAATCTGTGCTGTTGGATATCCTGTTGCCGCTGAGATGCCCGAAGAATTGAAGTCTGCTTCATGGTCTTGTATGCTTTTTTCTGGAGAATCAGATCCTGCGGTGATTTCAGCACTCGTTCTGGCAGAAGCCGCATGTGATGTCTAGGTGATGGGGTCAACAATGTCAGCCACGGTGGAGGAGCTGAAGGCGATCGCAAACGAGTTGGGACGCTTGTTGAGATTTGTTCCAGCCGTCGGAGACTCTGGCGTTTGTATTTGGAAGCGGTTGAACCTGGGACTGAAGCCTATAGCGGATAGCGCTAGCAACGATGCTTTTGTTTGGTGATGCTCTGCTTTGTGTTCTGTGATGGTCTGTGCACCAGGCGGCCGTCGAGACGAACCTGCCTGGCAAGGCGTCATTTTGACAATTTTGCATAGAGGATGGGCAGCTTGATCTCCACGGAGTTTCAGTGCAGCCATGTGCGGCCCGAATCATGCAACCCCAATGTCAGTTTTTCTTGCTGGTTGATGCCAGACAGATTCTTCCGCAAAGTGGTATGTAGCATGAGAAACTGAGATGCGTAATTAGGCATCACTCGAGGCACTGCAGGACGGAGACAGGCCACAGCGATAGAGCCGGTCGGCGATGGCCAGCTCGGTTGGCCGAGCCCTGCGCTGCGCGCTGCGAAGGAGCTGCTCTTTTCAGAGCTCTAGGAAAGGATTAAACGGATCAAACCACGCCGAGAGTCCGAGAGTTGTCACCTGGTGTAGTCGGCAGTTTAAGCTCATGCCCTGCCGACCCCGCAACACAAGTAGCCGAGGTTCGCTGGTCGTCAGATAGTTGTCTTTGCGGGTGAACATGTTGTGCGCACTTTAGCCACCTGTGAGTGGTGGAACACCATTCGGCTTACCAAGATAGCGAGCTTGCCTACTGGGCTTTTGTCCGTCTCTCATCTCCACACCATGGGCAAGTAAGGTCACTCCTATGGTTGATCACGTTCAGTGTTCAAGACAACTTTGCTGAATACCTGCGACTTGGACGTTTGTCGGTAAACACTCCTCGGCTTGCTGTGCTCGGCTTGCTGTGGCACATGCTTCATCCAGTTGTTGTCGAGCCGTTGTCCATTAATGTTTGCAGTGATCCATCGGATTTGCCTGTTGTTCTCATGGCTCTTGGAGCCCAGATGCAGCTGCAAAATACTGCAAAGACTGTCTCAGCAATGGGCAGGAGATGTACGGGACGGGCTGTTGCCACAGGCCAGCAAGCTGTGGGCAGTTTCACTTCGAGGTCGTGTCAGTTTAGGGGTTGCTTCGATGTATCGAACTGGAGAAATCAGAGCTTCACCGGCTACAAGATCTTGTCTGAGAGTCTTTTCAGAAGCAGTTCGCATGCATGTGTCAACTGATGCATTGTCTTTGCTGCATTGGAGTGTGCCTCATCGCAAGTTCCCTCTGCTTCTGCTGTCCATCCACTTGTCATCCACTCCTTCGGTTCGCCTTGTCGCCCCTGCTCTCATTTGTTACTTGCCCTGCGACCCAGAGGTAGTCTTCCTGGCGAGGCACTCGGCCCTGGTGCTGGGATCTCAAATCTCATGCATTTGACGGGTCCGCGATGCACGCATCGCTGCGTTTCACTTAGAGCACATTAGGTTCCGGGAGGTGCCTCCAAGCTCGGCGACATTGCGAAGGCCTCTACACGCGGTTTGAGCGGGGGCCTCTGGGGGGGCCTGTGCAAAGGTGCCGCTGCTGCTCAAAGAGTCTCCAGTCAAAGTTCGCGAGATTTGGTTGGAGAGGTGCTACCAGTGCTGCAACAGTTTCATCCAGGAATCTAGGACAGCGATGGGACGGCTTTGTCTCACGAGGTTTCGAGAGAACCCGGTCACTGTCGCCGGAGTTTGCTTCTCAGGCAGCTGAAGGGCGGTCGACAGGTCCTTCGTTGAAGCCCTCTGTTCCCAAGGCAGTTAGTGACAAAGATTACAGACCGTCGCTGCCTTGGTTGAACTGTAGGAAAAGTGCTTTCAAAGGCTTTGTATGCATCCCAAGGTTTCAAGCGAATGCCGAGGCAATGAAACTCTCCTTCTCTTTCGCCTAGCCGAATGTCTAATGTCATGAAAGCGTGCATGGCTTTCCTGTGCGATCGCCAGGCCTGCCCTATGTTCGTCGTTCCGCTTCCTCGTGGAGAGGGATTTCTGAACATGGTTTGGCAGGCGACGGAGATCAGAACAGCACAGGATGCATTCGTTGCCAGCTTGGCGGTGAAGGTTCAGGACCAGCGGGTTCTCTTTAAGACCTTGGATGGCTTCCAGCGCAAGCCCCAATCACTTGCTTCGTAGTCCAGGCAACCTCCGTGGTTTTTCCAGGCAGGGCTCGCCAGTCATTGACCTCGGGGTCTCATTCTTCACCGAGCTCATCGTGCCCGCAAGCCAAGTTCCTCTTGCGACTCTAGAATTGCGAGAGAAGTCGCCAGCCAAGTTCCCATCAGCTGGTGTTGATCCACGGCGAGATCAAGTCCAATCTCCTGTCGAAGGCGCGCAAAGCAGTCAGAGTGCTTTTCCCTCTGAAGGGTCTTAGGTCATAGGCCCAGGCCTCCCTTGTCTTGAACCTTAAATGGAAAGCGAAGCCGCGAGAGGTCTGAACCCCAATCGGAGCTTGATCCCTGTACAGACCGCTTGAGCACGGACAGGAGGAGGCTTCCAGGATGGTACGCTTTCTACGCGAGGCATTGGCACCCTTTTGCTCCGTCCGTTCCTGCAACGTTTTCGTACCGCACAGCAGGCGTATGCTGATCCGACCCTTTTCGGTTGGGTGAAGCGTGGTGCTCTCAACATCGGCTACATCATCCCTATGCTCACATGATGACTCCGCACAAAACAGAGTTGTCTCTCCCTGAGGTTTTAATCAGTCGCCGCGGGAGTTCGATTGGCAAGACTTCATATCTCAAGCCAGGCCAGTAGAGTTGCCGCCTCGGTGATGAATTAGCTTGTGCACTGGTATGGTACAGTCTTGCTGGAGGTCTAGAAAGCTTCATGGCGTGGTGTCTGTCGCTGGTAGAGCCATCGCAGTTTCAGACTAAATTTCTCTGAACTGTTGGGTTTTCTTCTTTCAATCTTCTCCACCGGGTCTCGAAGCGCGGCACTGCTTTCTCCTTTTCCGGTCAAGGAGCAATCAATACACAAGACAGCACGGCGTCTACTAACGTAGAAGATCGTAGGAGTCACCTCAATGAAGACTTGGAGTTGCTTGATGCAGCATTGGTTTGGGGTTGCAGCTTGAAGATGCAGTGGGCCCTGTACCTCGATTTGAAGTTTCCCCGGGCCCCTGCAGGTTATGTGGAGATATCGCATTTTGCATGCTATCATGACTTGGAGTTTCAGACGGGTTTGGCCTGTGCTGGGTTCAACAACAGGATGTCCCCTCTTGATCAGGGTGTATCCTAAACACCCAAAAGAGGCGTCCCGAGTCTCCGTTTGCACAGATTTTTGCACCTTTCGCACCCAGGCGATGGCAGTCCTACTTGCCCTCAGCCGCGGTCTCACCGTGATTTCAGCCCGGTGCTTCTCGCCGCCTCTCTTGGAAAAGAACAGGAGCTCTCCGCATGAGCCCATTTTCTTCTGCAGCCGATAACCGAGTGATACTGAAGCTGGTTTGCACCGTTACGACTCGCTGTTCCATTGGTGCCTTTCAAGCTGATGTGCAGTGTCTTGACTTTCTGAGCTTCCGGACCTTCTTTCAAAGGATCCTGATGCAAAATGCAGCCGCATGACGAACAGCTTGCGGGTAGCCTACAGGTGGAGGAGAATCCAACTCCGTCCAACTCCCTATCCCGGGTTTGCACACGGGCAGTGCGTCTGGCGTTCTGGCTTTGTCAGGCTTCATGCCGTTGCGCCTTTGGGCTTTTCTTCTTGCCCTCGCAACAACCAATATTGAATTTTAGCCAGATCTCGTGCTGTCTCGCAGTTGCAAGCTCGCGCAGAGCTAGCTCGGCATCGTTCCCGCTTGTCATTGAGTTGCTCGCATGCTGCCCCGTAGAGGCCGACGAAGATGTAGTGACAGCGGCAGTGTGCGTCCGGCCTTTTGGTACACACAATGCATCGTCTTCGATGTGTCTGTAGCCAGGCAAGAGATGGCTGAACTCTTCTTCATGCCCGATCAAATCTTTCTAAGCATGCTTCTCAGGGCCCTTCTCAGACCGCCTTTGCTGCATAGCCTGCTCCGGAAGCATGTCAGCCAGTTTCACTTCACAGGACACGTTGCTACTGGTAGCATTCTGCAGAGCTCCTTGCCAGAGGACATCTGTCTGGCAGTGTTGAAGATTGAAGACGTACTTAAGACCTGCGACAACCTCCAAAAGGATGTGCAGGAAGATGTCGACGACGATGAAGAGTTGATGCGGGAGGGTCTGGCTGAGGCGATTTGGCAACAGCATGCAACAGCTGTCTAAAGCTGCTATAGTTGGCAAATAGCTAGGTATTGGAGGCAGACTGCGGTGATCAGATGCAGCCAGGTTGCTGCAGCAGCAGCGGCTATCAAGGAGCCGGCTGAAGACCCCTTGCAGATACAGGCGTGGATGTTCCTGCGTTCATGTTGATGTCGGTGATGATTTTGTGGCTTTCCCTTTGGCCCGGCTTTACTCGGGAGTTAGTTTTGGGATTCGAATGAAGGGGTTGCATATCCGCGCCTTGGCATTACCATGACAGTGCAAAGTCAGACAGGGACACTCCTATGTTCTTAGATGCTTGATACACGACAGGCACTTTTTTTGTGCGTGCGTCCGTGGGTGTGGGTGTGTGGGTGTGTGGGTGTGTGTATGTGTGTGTGTGTGGTAACGTACCTGCTTTGCCTGCGCCTGGGTCCCGTCGTGGACAGCTGGCGGGGCATTCACTTTCGTTCACCTTTCTTCTCATTTCGTGTTACGTCATTCCTCTGCGTTTGGCGTAGCAACGAGAGCATTTAACGCCGATGCCGTTCTGCTCATCACTCCCGCCCGGGCACTGCCAAACACAACCTGCATGCACTCCGTATCGCATGGCTCAAGTGGGCCACGGATGCCGATCTGCCCAAACGCATCGCAGTACGCCTCATGCAAAGCAAGCCTGAACACCCACTCAGCGAACAAAAATGCACGCAAGCAGCCCGCATCGCACATGAAGTACGGTGCCCCAACTGCACCATGCAGCACGCTTCGCCATAGAGCACGGCCAGCCCTTTCGCCTGCAGATGCTGCAACTCTTGTCCAGCTGCACACGTGGCCCCGATGAAGACCTCGTGCAGCAGTGCCAACAGGGGCCTTCGAGCCACTGCCTGCCAGCAAGCAATGGCTGCCCAACAGCGACCTGCCTGACGAAGACCTTGCACCGCCTGCCTTACTTCACTGCCAAGGCAACTGGAAGCGTGCAGAGGACAATCCTGACGTCCTCCAAAGCCTGCTCACAAAAGAAATCGATAGCGGCTTCGTCAGGAAATCCGAGGCCGACGAGGCAGCAGCCAAACTCCACTGGCCCGCAGGCGCTGGGAAAGGATTTGTGACGTCCTACTCCTACAAGCTGTGCATGGTGCCATCTTGTGGTATCGTCGCGGTACAAACATTGTATCTGCAGCCAGCGCGCAACAGCCTCAAGTCAGTGCCTGTTTCACAGCAGCCGTTGCATGTGCATAACAGATCATAACAGTTAACAACAACAACAACAACAAAATCCCCGCCTCACCGCTCTTCTATGCTTGCCTCTTGCTTTTGCCGGAACCCCACAAAAGTGTGTGTATGTGCGTGTGCGTGTGCGTGT